GCCCAGGGCACGACACAGTTGCACTGTGACGCCTGATCATGTTGAGGCCACCCTGGCCTCGGCCCTGGACAGAAAAAACACTCGGTGCGACACTGGCCTGCCTGTCCAGCCGGCATATAGAGTCTAGAGAGTATAGAGTCTAGAGTATAGTGCGATGCAAAGCAGCAAGCTGCAGACCGACTACTGTAGACTCTAGGCAGAAGTGAAGCCTCACGTGTATCACAGTAGCTAGACAGCCCTAACATATTTAATCCTGAAAGCCATCACTGATGTGCTCACACAGACCATGAACAGGTCTCATGACACACACCAGACTAAATAAACACCAACCTTTCTAACCTTACAACCAAACAAAATGTCTACAGTGTCTAGTCGAATCTAGCTGGAGTCTAGCTGCTTAGGTGCGAAACTCGACAGCTGCACTGATCCACTTGAATCACTTGAAGCTTACATGAAACCCTGCAGGGTGATCTGTGGTGTCCAAACAGTTTAGCCAGGAGTCTTAAGTCATTAAATGAAGCAGTATGTCTGAACACAGTCACTCATGAAATTAAGACATATGACATATGAAGCCTTCTCTTCTCTGACTCTCTGAATCAGCGGCTGATGCTAGCTGCTAGCTGCTAGCTGCAAAGACTAAGTTATACTAAGTAAGAGGCTGGCACAGCGAAGAACCACTGAACACCGAAGCCGTCTCCAACTGCAACACGGCCTGGTGGGCCTGGTCTTTGCCAACTGGTCAAGCCGTATCCCACAATGACAAGAATGTAGAGTCCAGAAAACAAACCACCTAAATGCAATCCAAAACCCGGACTCCATAATGGATAAACGTAACAAGAGAGCGAATTTTGTAGTACCTAGCTCCCTAGCTTTCACCCTCTAGTGGAAGAAACATCAAGCACAATGACTGCTGGACTCGGGCCTGGGGTGCCCCTAAACCCTAAACCCTAAAGACTCTGAAAACTGTGGAGTCTAGAGACTAGAATCTGGAATGTTTGGGACAGTCTAGCGCTTGGACTGCAAGTTCCTCCTTCTTTATTTTACATTGTCGACTTTCCACCTCACATTTGCAGTCAGCCACAACGAAACACCTGAAGATGGAATGCTCTCCTCACCGTGCTTGGCAAGCTGTATAGAAAGGTGGACTCATGGGACAAACACATGATGCATGTAGTTGGTCTCCTCACCTTCATGATGACATGATGACACACTGTAACTGCTCACCCGACGGTTCAAGTCTAATTTGGGGTCTAAGAGTCTAAGCCTAAGTCAAAGGGTTTATCATCGATTGGTTCTAGCTGATTCTACCTGTGCCTGATATCAGTTTGGCAAAACCAGCTCACACTCATCCTGTGCAGGAAACCCTTTGGTGAGGTAGATCGCCCACACACAAAGGCCAATGCAGGGCAAAGCCATCCCTTCTCCTGCCAGCCTGCGGAGACTCGCAGCTGACATGTCAGCAGGGATCGAGGTCTGCTGAGCGTTGTGGCCCTGCAACCACAGCATCTCTGACGGAAGGATGACACGACACTTTCCTAAATCGACCAGAATCGAAGACGTGCACAAGGTCCTCAGGCATTTACTCTTGCTGGCAAAACTTCTGCGGGCAGGGTTCTGGGAAACGTCAGCCACGACATCGCTGATGGCTGCAAGCATTCTCTTTCTCACCGTGTGCTTCTTCTGCTTGAGCAGCTCTTGTGTCTGATTTGCCACGATCAAATTGAGGT